TAAAAAATTAAGTCCACATAGAAGGGGGCGATGCGCACTGCTGGTTCAGACTAAAGCAGTGATTAGCAAGAGGGTCTTAGTGATTGAAACAAGCCATGTGAGGGCGGTTTGCTCCTCGTTTGAGGCCTGGTCCTGATTATAAATGAGAGCTTTTAATTAAGATTAGCAAGACCCAATTCAAGCTGTAATTTGGTCCTTTTCCTTAGCAAATGTCTATGAAAACAAGGCAATTAAGGTTAAATGAGTTGAAGCATTTAAAGAGGATGAAATGCCCCCTCCTCACCCCAGCCTGCCCCTCTGGTAGAATAAGCACAAACAGGCCTGGCTAATGCAGACCAGGAGGCTGGCGAAGGCTGACCCTGCAGCTTCTGAAGGCCCATCCCCATGAGACCTGGTGAGGTAGGGATGCACAGGCTCAGCCAGAGGAGAGACAGAGAAAAGGGCATGTGCAAAGGCCCCGGGGTAGGAAGGATCTGGCAAATCTGAGGAACTAAGAAAAGATAGCGTAGCAAGGCAAGGCCAGGGAAGGAAGGATGAAAACAGCTCAATGTGGCTGAGCTGAGTGCAGGGCTGAGCCCAAGGGGGTATCACCAAGCTACAGGACTGGTGACACAATTCTAGCCCCTCACAGTCACAGGAGCTGTCTGACGAGTTGGGGGCAGCAGGAAGGGGACAGTTAAGATAGGACAGGTCCCCACAGCCTCGTCCATCATGCCATAGTGATGAAAATCCCTCCTCATGCCTTCAGATAGGCTGCTGGGGGGCTGCTATCATGGTGTGAGGTTGGAATCCAGCCCTGCTGCCTGTCAGCTGGGCCACCCGGCTACAGGCTGATCTCCTGGACCCAGTTTCCTCTGGCAAATTCTGCTACTGGGTCCAGCCTCCAGTCGCCACACAGGTCATCATAAAACCTAGGTGACAAGGGCTCTCGGGAGGAACGGGCACAGATGACAACCCACCCATCTGGGGAACCAGGGAAGGCTTCCTGGAGGAGGTGATCTTCGGGATCACCTCTCCCCGCTTTCTCCATCGGAAGCCCTCAACTCCCTGCAGGGTTCATGGGTGCTGAATAGGTCAGGCCCTGCCTGCAAGGAGCCTGCATTCCAGGAGGAAGCTCAATGCAGGAAAAGCTAAATGCAGTGTGATGGGCTGGAATGGAGGTGGACAGATCTGGGGAGGACAGTAAAGAGGGGAGGTCACCCGTCAAATGCAGGCCAGCGCCGATGCCCGGTGAAGTTTCTTTCAACTCTGCACATGCATGCCTTTACCCCAAGGGGCTTCCAATTCGACCAAGACTCAAGTCACTGAAAGAACCCTGATTTAACCTCCCCCTCCCTCACAGCCTGACCCCTCCCCCACGCAGGCCAGACTGCATCCGGACACAGCTGCGCACAGGGAGGCCACCAGCCACATGGCAAGAGGGCCTCGAAGCTGCAGTAAAAACCACCCCCAGAATGGGGGCGGGCTGCCCTGAGTGCGGGGTTTGCTATGGGGGTTTCACAACCAGCAGAAACTCCAAGATGACACAGCTGAGAGCCCCTAAGGGGCTTCCCACAACCTGGCTCCACTTCCTGTGAAGCTCTCAGGAAATGCTTTGCCATGACTCCTCTGGATTCACTGCAGTTGACAGCAGTCTCTGAGCTCTGCAGGACAGGGGGCTTAGTCCTCCCAAACTCCAGCCCCTGCAGAACCCACGGAGACCAGTGAAAGAAAACAGGTTTCCTGTACCCTGAAAATGACTGCCTGAGTGGTGCGGCGATCGATTACTGATGTCTGCTGCGGGAGAAAGTGGCAATGAATTTGTCAAGCCCGCACAAAGGGACGCCTACCCCATGAATTTTTAATTGCGTCTTCTTGGTAGGTGGTTCTGTGCAAATGGCACAGATGTCTGTCTCTATGTCTCTGTGGGGATAGGGATGTATACATAGGGTTTATATGAACGCCTCAATATATGGCATGCTTCATTTCCTGCCATGGTAGATCCAGGAGAATGCTGGGAAAAGACAAAGCTCCACATTTACTCACATATTGAACAATATTATGATGACCAACTTATGATCAACGGCAGCATGATGAAATCACCGCTATCAAAATCATTTCATCAGCATTACATCAACACCACTTTCATCACTGACATCCGCAACATCACCATCTCCTTCATCATCATCGCTATCACCGTCACCATTAGTAACGTCAGCCTCATCACCAGCGTCTCTTTCACCTGCCATTTTCATCACCACAATGACAGCAACTAGCGCTTCTGCAGCACAGCTTATGCGGCAGGCTGTGTTCAAAGGCTTTAAATACATCCGCCATGTCACCCTGACACTCCAGGAAGCAGGTGCTAGTCATATGTCCCATATTCAATAAACAAACAGCTAAGGGGCATGCACAGGCTACGCAGGCAGGATTTAAACCCAAGCAGCCTGGCTCCAAGTCTGTACTTTAACGCCTCTGCTCAATGGAGTAAGGGCTATGTGCTCACCTCTTAGGAGCAGAAAGGGACAGAGAGCGAGGGCCGCCTGCGGATACACAGTGTGGAGACATGGTTCCCCCACACCTGGGTCTGCTCCCCATCTGGGCAAGGCTTCCTCCGCTCTGGGGAAACCGGAAGTGAACCTCTGCATGGTCTCCAGGGTCTATGATGCCGCCGCTGCACATGGCCTGCCAGTCCGCAGGTTTGCACAGCCCTCCTGGGGAAGCCGGTGGGTGGATGCAGACCCATGACTGTGGGTGGGTCCCAGGGATGAGAACACCTGACGGAAGCAGGATAGGGTCCACTCGGGTCCCCAGAACCTGTGCCAGCTCTCACGCACGGGGCTCTGGGGTCAAGTAGCTAACTGGCATCACTGTCTCTGTTCCCAGTGCTGACTCTTTGTACCAACGCCCCTCCATCCTAAATGTGCTGATGAAGCCTCCCCACCAACAGGTCATCTCAGCCCGCACAGTGCCAGCAGTCGGCAAGCTCCTGGAAGGCAGGGACTGGGCTGTACCATGACCGGCACCTCCCAGGTGCCCGGCACAGAGGGAATGCCAGACAGCTTCACCCTTTGTAATCCCCTCGCGGTTGCAGCTCCTGAGAGGCAGCGAGGACCGGTGAGGGTGGCAGCAGCAGTGGTGGTAACAACACGCACATCTGTACGTGGCCGAGCACATGCTGTACGCTGCCGGCCACCGCGGACCCGCAGGTCCCCAGGACACAGCGCTGTGTCTCCACCTTCAGGATGAGCTGCAGTGGGGAGCAGTGTGGGCCCATGGAACCAAAGGAGAGACCGAGGCTCAGTGAGGGCAAACTGCTAGGTGCTCACCGCAGTGAGGGCTGGACACAGGCTCACGAGGACACCAGGGCAAGAAGGGGCCTCCCTGGCTTGGGGCTGCACATTCCCCACCATACCCCTCACCGGGCATCTCACAAGGGGCAGATTGCATGTAAACTCCACCCTGGGCAAAGAAACGTTTCCTGCTGGACTCTGGAGGGTTTGAGGAAGCCGGGCAGGAGACCTCCTGGGCAGGGGCCAGGAGAGGCAGGCATAGGCCTGAGGAGCTGGGTTTGGGGAGGCAGAGGCCAGCTCAAGTGGCTTACACTGGCAGGGCTGGCGTGTCAGTCTCGGCCTTCCTGGCCTTTCCTTGCAGGGAACTGGGTTTGAGGGGCCAGCAGAGGGTCAGAAAGCGCTCACATACAGCCTCATCAAGCCGACTCCAGGTGCTGCCAGTAGCTGGGCCAGCCATGCCACCAGGCTCCTTGCTCAAGACCTGCTCTCCCTGCCTGTAGCCTGCTTCCTCCTGGAGGCTGTGGGTGGGCTGCAGCTCCCGGGCACTGAGCAGGCGGGGCACGCGTGCACAGCAGGCATGACCCAGGGGATGTCACATGCCAGGGCTCGGCCACGGGCAGAAAGAAGCTCCACGAATGAGACAGCTAAACAGTATCTCTCCAACTCCTGAGCCCACACAGAGCTCACACTCTGAAGAACTGAGCTGGCAGGAGAAGGAGCTGCTACAGCGTGGCTGAGGGAAGACAGAAGATCTGGACTTCAGTCCTCGCCATGTTGCTATGGAACTTGGGGACCCTGCAAAAGATGCTTCTTTCTGGGCTCCAGCTTCCCCTTCTGTCTTCTGTACAGTGGGAGCTATCAGGGAAGATCTGGATGAATGACCCCACCCCGGGCCACATCGTCCCCAAGGTCAACCTCTGTCCCACATGTACAAGGTCAGGATGACCCCCCTCCAAGGTTTCATCTGGAGGGGCCTGGGTCCCAACACCACTCTGTGTGTGTGTGTGTGTGAGGGGTACTGGGAATCAGAGTTTTTACACTGCGCTACACCCCCAGCTCCTCCCTCTGTTAAATTTATTTAGTTTGAGACACGGTCTCATTAAATCATGAAGTTGTCCAGGGTGGGTTCAAATTTGCAATCCTCCTGCCTCAGCCTCCCAGAGTGCTGGGATTACAGGCACATGCCACCATGCCTGGTGAGACTGCTCATTTCTCTCTGACTTCTGCCTGCCATTTTCTAATGCCAGGTGGTCAAACCAGGACTAGTGCAGTGAGGTCAGGCTGGACAGACAAACAGACAAACCTAGCACCTGCCCAAGCTCTGGAGCTAGAGACAGAGGACCTGAGCCAGCCTAATGGCTGTAGCTGGCTCCTCAGCAGGTCCCCTGGGGAAGCTATAGACCATGTGGGGTGGTTCTGGTTTGAAGTCAGGGACCCAGGTTGAGTGGATCATCCCAGGCCTCCACCAACCCCCACATCCAGTTAGCGACAAATATATAAATACGGCATTCAGGGCTTCACCACAATTTCTTTAAAAAAACAAAAAAGTCTGAAACCTGGGAGAGTCATGTCTCCAACATCCACTCTCTGGAGAAGCAGCCCACGTCCCAGGACAGCCCGCGGCCTCCTGAGGGAAGCAGGAGAGGACCCACAGAAGCCTGTGCCGTCACTGCCCATGCTGGCACTGGCCACCTGTGGGCAGCCGCAGGCCCTGGGCGGGGCACTCACCTTCACACTGCCTCCCTTCCCCCTTGTAGCCCGGCTTGCAGAGGCATTTGTAGGACTTGGGCGTGTTCTGGCAGATGGCATCAATGTGGCAGTCGTCCGTGCCCTCGGAGCACTCGTCCACATCGCCCGCTCCTGAGGGGGAAAGGGGTAGATGACAGGTGAAACGTGGCCGGGAAGAAGCCAGAGGGCTGTGGACAGGGCAGCTCTGGCCCCCACCCTTCCTTTGATCACTGGGGTGATAAGTGACAGCTGTCACGGGACAATCTGGGGTGGCAAAGTGGCAGTTGGTAGCACCCTTGGGGCAGCTACTCTGGACCAATACCTTTGGACTCTTATTTGCACACCAGTCTTGTTGAGTGTGGTGGCTATTTTTCCCACTAGAGAGATGGGAAAATGAACTTCAGAAAAAGCCTCTCTGTGTTCTCGACTCCCCGTCAACATCACTCCAACCCTCCTTTAGTCTCCTGGTTCAGGAGTTTAGAGCCACTGGGTCCCTGGAGGAGCTTCAATCCAGCCCCTCTGGGTTACAGATGGGGACACTGAGGCTGGGGGAGCAGCCCACAGAGGCCGTTCCAGGAGGCTCCTGCAGGTGACCCGAACATGGGAACCTGCCCAGCCCGGAGACTGTGGCAATGCAAGTCTTCCCCTGGCTTCCACACCCCGGCCTGCAGAGGTCATCTATGCTGAGCACAGATGGGACCCTCTCTTCCCCAACCTGGGAATCTAAGCATGAACCTGCTTCTCAGATCCCAATTGCTAGAGATGGCTCGGCCAGAAGGACCTTAGCAGCAATCCAAGCTCTCTTCTCAGGGTTCTGTCAAGGAATGGGGCCTGCAGGTGGGCGGCTCCTCGGGGGCAGCGGCTGGGTCCTGCCACAGAGCCAGCTGCACCAGAAGCCACGTGCTTCCACCCAGCTATGGATAAAATGCAGCAAACAGACAGAAGGACCCCGGTGAGCAGTGCCAGGGCAGTCCCCGAATGTCCCCACTCCTCAGGCCCCTGGCCTCATGCAAGATCGCGAGTCCCCAAGAATATCCACTTTGAGTTCTCCCCCTGCCTGGCATCTGGGTGCTAAACCTGAGGAGGTGCCTCTGCCCAACCCCCAAGCCTTCTCTTCCTCAACCCACGCCCCAGGGAAGAAAGGCAGCAAAAGGAACACAGCAGAATGACCTCCCCCCATACTCACGCACACATGATCACACATGTGCATACACTCACACACCCGGGTCACTGGTCAAGGTGGCTGTGTATGTTCAGGGTGGAGGCCTGTCCACTACAGCTGCCCAAACCCTAGGGGAAAGAGCCTGGGAAGCAGTCAACTAATGCAGCAGGGTGGGGGCAGACAGGAACATGGGTGCAGGCCCCCTGGAGCAGGAGCACTCGTGGGCCCCGTGCAGGTCTGGCATGGACTCAGGGCTGGGAGCCAGTGGCCAGGGTGGACCGACCTACATGCTTCAGGGAAGGGTGGGGCTGCTTCAGGGAGAAGACCAGGGAGGCATCTGATCACAGCTCTGGCTCTTGCCCCATCCTAGGGGTCAGCGCATGGGGATGGGGGACAGGAACCTCCCCACCCCCCACTTCTGCTCTCCCCCTCCACATCAGGGTGGACATGGTCCTGGTAAGGTGGGGGGGCTGTCTGCCAGTATCCCTTATAGACTCGTCCTTAGTGGGAGGTGGGGGGGCTGGGGGCTGGGGAGGGATTCGAGGACACAGGTTCTGGGCCACACTCCTGCCTGGCCTGGGCTGAAGGTCCCCTGTGAGGGCAGCCTGGCCTCCGCACAGGCTCACTTTGACTTCGGCTTGCTTGTGCTGGGGACCGGCTGCTGGGCTTTCACAGAAGGGTGAAGCGGGCAGGAGACAGAGACACACAGGGGCACTCACAGAAGCAAAAACCGCAAGGCCTGGAAGAGACACCCACAGACTGGCTGGGGTGACTGCCCTGAGGCTCAGCTTCTGGAAGATGGGCCACTGATAAAAGCTAACCCCAACCTGGAATAGTGGGAAAGGCCCGGCACCTTGGCGCTGGGTGTGACTCCTAGGAATTCCACCACAACCCCAGGGACCGAGCTCCAGGGTCAGCGAAGGAGCAGGGACTGGCAGGACTCTCCTGACCCCGCGAAGGAGAAATGGAGCAGGGAGAACGCGCCCTGAAGCTGGAAAGCCAGCCACGCCGCCTTTGCCGGGTGCCACTTCCAGCCAGGGAGGGAAGCAGCCAGGGCAGGAGGGCAGGGTGTCCCTGTGAAATCCCCGGGCACTTGCACATCGTCACCTCTGCTGCTGGCTGTCCCTGCTGTCCCCTGCCCCCTCTGAGGTCCACGTCTGCTCCCCGTTCCCTTCGTTCCCATCTGCCGCCTTCCTGTGTCCGTCAGTCTGTCTTCTCTCCCTGCTCCTGTCTGACTGTCCATCTCTTCGCAGGCATCTTCGCCCTTCCCCTGTCCCTCCCCGCGCCCTGCGCTGTGGCTCCGGTCCCGGTCCTCCGCGTCCTCCCCGGGGTCCAGCGCGCCCACCTCTCCTGCTCCTCACCGGCAGCGCAGCCCACCCCAGCCCCCTCCTTCCTCCGGCCCCCTCCCCGCTGCCCAGCGCCTCGCCTTCTCTCTCCTCTCGGCCTCCTGCTCTCCTCCCTGCCCTCCGCGTCAGTCTTTCTCCGGAGTCTTCCTGCGTCCTTTTGTCTGCGCCCCTGCGCCTCCTTTTCTGTCCGTCGGTCCCCCACATCCCCTCCCTCTTTCTCTCGCCCTTTCCTCCGCGCTGGCCGCCCGCGGCTCCGCGCGGCCTCCTCCGGCCCGCGCCCCTCTCCACCGGAGGCAGCGCCCCTCGAGGCTCAGGTCCTGCCCCGCCCGGGCCCCCTCGG